ACAATTTTTGAATGTATGACTATTCGCAAGAACCAAATATTACATTGGATCTGAAAAAAGCCATTCAATTTAAAGCCGTAGAAATGGTCAAAAAAATTACTTAGAACGAGCGTTTAGCCTTTTACACATCAATTATGCAAAAACAAAACAGATAATTTCTGAATATATGACCATTCGCAAGAACCAAATATTACATTGGATCTGAAAAAAAGTCACTCAATTTAAGGCCGTAGAAATGTTCAAAAGTTTAACCCACACCGAGTGTGGGGCCTATTACACAACAATTATGCAAAAACAAAACAAATAACTTTTGAATGTATGACCATTCGCAAGAACCAAATATTATATTTGATCTGAAAAAAAAGTCACTCAATTTAAGGCCGTAGAAATGTTCAAAAGTTTAACCCACACCGAGTGTGGGGCCTATTACACAACAATTATGCAAAATCAAAACAAAATTTTGAAAGTATGACTTTTCGCAAAAACCAAATAATACATTGGGTCTGAAAAAACTCAATCAATTTAAGACCGTAGAAATGGTCAAAAGTTTAATCCAGACCGTGTGTTTGGCGTATTACACAACAATTATGCAAAAAACAAAACAAATAATTTTTGAATATATGACCATTCGCAAGAACCAAAAATTACATTGGATCTGAAAAAAAGTCAATCAATTTAAGGCCGTAGAAATGGTCAAAAGTTTGACCCAGACCGAGTGTTTGGCCTATTACACATCAATTATGCAAAATCAGAACAAACAATTTTTGAATGTATGACCATTCGCAAGAACCAAATATTACATTGGATCTGAAAAAAGCCATTCAATTTAAGGCCGTAGAAATGGTCAAAAAAATAACTTAGAACGAGCGTTTGGCCTTCTACACATCAATTATGCAAAAACAAAACAGATAATTTCTGAATGTATGACCATTCGCAAGAACCAACTATTACATTGGATCTGAAAAAATTTCAATCATCTTAAGGCCATAGAAATGGTCAAAAGTTCAAAACAGACCGAGTGTTTGGCCTATTACACATCAATTATGCAAAAACATAACAAATAACTTTTGAATGTATGACCATTCGCAAGAACCAAATATTACATTTGATCTGAAAAAAGTCACTCAATTTAAGGCCGTAGAAATGGTCAAAAGTTTAACCCAGACCGAGTGTTTGGCCTATTACACATCAAATATGCCAAAACAGAACAAACAATTTTTGAAGGTATGACTATTCGCAAGAACCAAATATTACATTGGATCTGAAAAAAGCCATTCAATTTAAGGCCGTAGAAATGGTCAAAAAAATTACTTAGAACGAGCGTTTAGCCTTTTACACATCAATTATGCAAAAACAAAACAGATAATTTCTGAATATATGACCATTCGCAAGAACCAAATATTACATTGGATCTGAAAAAAAGTCAATCAGTTTAAGGCCGTAGAAATGGTCAAAAGTTTGACCCAGACCGAGTGTTTGGCCGATTACATATCAATTATGCAAAAAACAAAACAAAATTTTGAAAACATGACTTTTCGCAAAAACCAAATAATACATTGGGTCTGAAAAAACTCAATCAATTTAAGGCCGTAGAAATGGTCAAAAGTTTAATCCAGACCGTGTGTTTGGCCTATTACACATCAATTATGCAAAAAACAAAACAAATAATTTTTGAATATATGACCATTCGCAAGAACCAAATATTACATTGGATCTGAAAAAAAGTCGATCAGTTTAAGGCCGTAGAAATGGTCAAAAGTTTGACCCAGACCGAGTGTTTGGCCTATTACACATCAAATATGCAAAAACAGAACAAACAATTTTTGAATGTATGACCATTCGCAAGAACCAAATATTACATTGGATCTGAAAAAAGCCATTCAATTTAAAGCCGTAGAAATGGTCAAAAAAATTACTTAGAACGAGCGTTTGGCCTTTTACACATCAATTATGCAAAACAAAACAGATAATTTCTGAATAAATGACCATTCGCAAGAACCAACTATTACATTGGATCGGAAAAAAATTCAATCAATTTAAGGCCATAGAAATGGTCAAAAGTTCAAAACAGACCGAGTGTTTGGCCTATTACACATCAATTATGCAAAAACAAAACAAATAACTTTTGAGTGTATGATTATTCGCAAAAACCAACTATTACATTGGATCTGAAAAAAAGTCACTCAATTTAAGGCCGTAGAAATGGTCAAAAGTTTAACCCAGACTGAGTGTGGGGCCTATTACACAACAATTATGCAAAATCAAAACAAAATTTTGAAAGTATGACTTTTCGCAAAAACCAAATCTTACATTGGGTCTGAAAAAACTCAATCAATTTAAGGCCGTAGAAATGGTCAAAAGTTTAATCCAAACCGTGTGTTTGGCCTATTACACATCAATTATGCAAAAAACAAAACAAATAATTTTTGAATATATGACCATTCGCAAGAACCAAATATTACATTGGATCTGAAAAAAAGTCAATCAGTTTAAGGCCGTAGAAATGGTCAAAAGTTTGACCCAGACCGAGTGTTTGGCCTATTACACATCAAATATGCAAAAACAGAACAAACAATTTTTGAATGTATGACCATTCGCAAGAACCAAATATTACATTGGATCTGAAAAAAACCATTCAATTTAAAGCCGTAGAAATGGTCAAAAAAATTACTTAGAACGAGCGTTTGGCCTTCTACACATCAATTATGCAAAAACAAAACAGATAATTTCTGAATAAATGACCATTCGCAAGAACCAACTATTACATTGGATCGGAAAAAAATTCAATCAATTTAAGGCCATAGAAATGGTCAAAAGTTCAAAACAGACCGAGTGTTTGGCCTATTACACATCAATTATGCAAAAACAAAACAAATAACTTTTGAGTGTATGACCATTCGCAAGAACCAAATATTACATTTGATCTGAAAAAAAGTCACTCAATTTAAGGCCGTAGAAATGGTCAAAAGTTTAACCCAGACCGAGTGTGGGGCCTATTACACAACAATTATGCAAAATCAAAACAAATAACTTTTGAGTGTATGATTATTCGCAAAAACCAACTATTACATTGGATCTGAAAAAAAGTCACTCAATTTAAGGCCGTAGAAATGGTCAAAAGTTTAACCCAGACTGAGTGTGGGGCCTATTACACAACAATTATGCAAAATCAAAACAAAATTTTGAAAGTATGACTTTTCGCAAAAACCAAATCTTACATTGGGTCTGAAAAAACTCAATCAATTTAAGGCCGTAGAAATGGTCAAAAGTTTAATCCAAACCGTGTGTTTGGCCTATTACACATCAATTATGCAAAAAACAAAACAAATAATTTTTGAATATATGACCATTCGCAAGAACCAAATATTACATTGGATCTGAAAAAAAGTCAATCAGTTTAAGGCCGTAGAAATGGTCAAAAGTTTGACCCAGACCGAGTGTTTGGCCTATTACACATCAAATATGCAAAAACAGAACAAACAATTTTTGAATGTATGACCATTCGCAAGAACCAAATATTACATTGGATCTGAAAAAAACCATTCAATTTAAAGCCGTAGAAATGGTCAAAAAAATTACTTAGAACGAGCGTTTGGCCTTCTACACATCAATTATGCAAAAACAAAACAGATAATTTCTGAATAAATGACCATTCGCAAGAACCAACTATTACATTGGATCGGAAAAAAATTCAATCAATTTAAGGCCATAGAAATGGTCAAAAGTTCAAAACAGACCGAGTGTTTGGCCTATTACACATCAATTATGCAAAAACAAAACAAATAACTTTTGAGTGTATGACCATTCGCAAGAACCAAATATTACATTTGATCTGAAAAAAAGTCACTCAATTTAAGGCCGTAGAAATGGTCAAAAGTTTAACCCAGACCGAGTGTGGGGCCTATTACACAACAATTATGCAAAATAAAAACAAAATTTTGAAAGTATGACTTTTCGCAAAAACCAAATCTTACATTGGGTCTGAAAAAACTCAATCAATTTAAGGCCATAGAAATGGTCAAAAGTTCAAAACAGACCGAGTGTTTGGCCTATTACACATCAATTATGCAAAAACAAAACAAATAATTTTTGAATGTAGGACCATTCGCAAGAACCAAATATTACATTGGATCTGAAAAAAAGTCAATCAATTTAAGGCCGTAGAAATGGTCAAAAATTTAACCCAGACCGAGTGTTTGGCCTATAACAAAACAATTATGCAGAATCAAAACAGAAAATTTTGAAAGTATGACCATTCGAAAAAACCAAATATTACATAGGATCTGAAAAGATAATCAATTTAAGGCCTAGAAATTGTCAAAATTTTAACCCAGACCGAGTGTTTGGCCTATTACACATCATTTATGTAAAAACAAAACAAATAATTTTTGAATGTATGACCATTCGCAAGAACCAAATATTACATTGGACCTGAAAAAAAGTCAATCAATTTAAGGCCGTAGAAATGGTCAAAAGATAAACCCAGACCGAGTGTTTGGCCGATTACATATCAATTATGCAAAAACAAAACTAATAATTTTTGAATGTGTGACCATTCGCAAGAACCAAATATTACATTGGACCTGAAAAAAAGTCAATCAATTTAAGGCCGTAGAAATGGTCAAAAGTTAAACCTAGACCGAGTGTATGGCCTATTACACATCAATTATGGAAAAACAAAACAGATAATTTTTGAATGTATGATTATTCGCAAAAACCAACTATTACATTGGATTTGAAAAAGTCAATCAATTTAAGGACGTAGAAATGGTCAAAAGCTTAACACAGACGGAGAGTTTGCCCTTTTGTACAAGGGTTAACTGGCAGCCAGCCGATGTTATCTGCAGCCATTGATTTGAACGAGGCCGGAATACAATTTTGCGTTTGAATAATTGCCCGTCAACTCGAGATCAATCAACCAACGCTTTGACATATTTTTTCTCAAGCTAATATAAAAAAGACAATGACAATTGCATTATCAGGCATAACCACTGACTTACTGGATAATCAATTGAGACTTGCCAGTGAAGCGAAATGGTCTGTCTAGAAATGCGGACACTGCATGGTGCTTAGCTTTGGATTTCAAAGCCAGAGCTAAGTCTCCATTCAAAGGGTTCTCTGTAGCAGCCTCAATACTCCACTCGCCGTCGTACTTCGCGATTTCTTCGTCGACCTCTTCCTTTTTGGCTTCGCTTTTTACCCATCTGGACTTGAACACATTGATGCTACCCGAGTCGAAGTTTTCAGCCAGATAGCACACATCACTGTTCACTTGAGGGGACACGTATACATTTCCAGGGTCTGGTTCCACTGCAGTGTCCTTTAAAATTAAATAGATGACTACTCAATAGCAGTTCCAGAGTAGTAAAAAATGAAATGAAGTTTTGTCTGATGAACAAACACATTAACTAATCTGATCTCTTTTCTTTTCTATTCAAACCTCATTACAGATATAGGCTCTTTTCAACTTTCAGCCCCACGTTTTTTATCGATTTAAAAAATATTTTTTAAAGTTGTCAAAATATAATGAAATGGAGAAAAACTAACTGCAGTGAACACATTTGTTATTCATACTTGAGGTTGTAAAACCCCGCGTTTAGCCATAATAACACGTAAAGCAACTATTAAAATAGAATATTTGGAAGATTTTACATTAAGCCCAAAAAAAATAATCCAAAAAAGCCATAAAACCAATAAAAAACATTATTTTTCAGAACGGTTTATGTATAAAACTTGCAGATATTTCTCACTGAACGTGTAGATCATGATATCTTGCTTTCAAAGTGTAACGCCTGTGGCGTGAGAGGTACTATGCTGCAATTGATTGAGTCTTATTCTCAGCAACCGCAAGCAGTTTCTGGTAAGCAATCAAGTAAAATCTGATTTGAGATGTATTTCATTACTTGTCCCACAAGACTAGGTTCTCGGACAGCTTTTATTTTTAAACATTATTAACTATATAGCAGACAATTTAGAAAATTCAAAAACTGTTTTATATGCAGATGCTACTTCAATAAGTGCAACTACTAAAAAAACTGCGTAAAAAAATTCAATTTAACAATTCAAAAAATTTTTTTAGGCATTATTCCAACTTTTATATTTGAAGGGCTTAATTTGCTTTCCTTAAGGCAAATGAATATGAGCTGAACGTGAGCACAAATCGATAGGCAAACTGCAAAAATTCTCAGCGAAATCAAATGTTGGGAAATTTTCCTATAAAGAACAAGAAACCCATTCAATGAAAATTTTGAACTAATGGACTTGATTTCCACGCTATAAAAACTCACAGATCAAAGAGGAGAAGCGGTATTTAGATTTAGATTCTGGCCATTTTAACGTTTTCTTTTCCCAAAAACCTACCAAAATAAAAAACTAGCACACGCTACAAAGCAAACTTAGCGGGGAATAACTAGAAGAAATGATAATAACTGTTTTACAAAATGTATCGCAAATTTTTTTTAAAATAAAGGCGAAGCTTGAAGCTTCGCAAACACTAGCGAGAACACGACAAAAAATAGCTCTAGAAAGTGCATTAAAAATAGAAATAAGCCTCGAATTAGTAAAAATTCAGCTAGGTCTACGAATCCATCTGCGACCTACTGCAATATAGAGACTTTGAGTCTCACGCACAAACCACTCAGCCACACTTCGTCATCGACAAACACTAGTCACGAATAATGCAGCTAGATATGCTTATCAATTGCCAATGCCATTCAGCAAAAGTGGCACCAAAAACAAATAGACACAAAACTGCAACTAATAAATTGTAATATAACAAACTGAAGGCATCCACACTAACTTTGCATGTAACAAATCGCAAAGCATAAAGCCACATTAAGTATAAATTAAGCAAGAGATATATTGAGCTAGAAAATTTCTGAAATCGAGTTTTCATTATTGTGATGTTGATGGAAACAAATAGCTTTTTTCGGTTCATTTGATGAATTAAAAATGCTTCAAATGTGTCAATTTATTACTAGTCGAATGTAAAAGCACATTCTATCAAATGGCTGTAAAGGTGCCCCACCATTATTGAGGTACCGCACGATAAAAGTGCCGCACCAAAGTTTGCGACTTAGGTTGGGAAAAAAAATAAGGTTCGTACTAATACACTAGCTTCGCAATTGTAAACAGCAAATCAAAAAATAGCAAACAGACAGCTGGAAAAAATCAATGAGCCTAAGAAGACCAAAACTTTTTAAAAAACTCAAGGAGACCAAAACTTTTTCAAGTTTCAATGAAATAAAAATATATAACATTACGTCTCTTTGAATTTCAAATTTAATAATTAAAAATTTTTGATAACAGTCCAATTTGAGAAAACTGGAGCGGTATATATATATATATGTATATTAATTGTGGTAGGAAACTTAAACGGTAAAGACCCTTCTAGAAACTAGAAGCTATTCGCGTTATTGCACCATTTGAACTTTTATTATTCAAGAGCGGAATTAAATTTGAAATTTACTTAGAAAAATCAAAGTCAAACCATGAAAAACTGAGCGAGATTTATTAAGCGAGAAAAGCTTTAAAAAAACCTGAGGGTTTATTTAAGTGTTTCAGCTGTGTGGGTTCAAATTATTTTTCGTGCAAGCAATTTCATTATTTGAACTAAAATTCAGGGTTATTATAAATTTTAATATGCTAACATATTGTATTATTGCAAAGGCAGGCAAAAGGGGTTGTACTTGATGAGTCAATCTATAATCTCTAGAATTAAGGCAACAAATTATCTGCAAACGTATCTTGAAATTGTATTTGATGACCAAATAAACTTCAAGGATCATGAAGAAAAAATTCGAACGGAAGCGAACTTGAAAGCGCTTATCAATCGTATATTAGCGACGATTCTGCTTCAAGCAAAAGCAATTGCTGCAGGTATATCAATCGGACAGAAAATACTTAAGACCAAAAATGGGTCAACAATTAAAATATTCCTTAAGTCCACTGGCACCGTAGTTTACGAGAAACTCCAAAAAATTCTAAGCAAATCAGGTTTTGTGAAGACCGACATTGCTTTTTTCAAAAATCAAGGTGTAGTCGCTTCGGAGATGAAAATTCCCAGCGGACGCTTTTTTCGCTTGAACTCTTCATCTCAAATGTGACAGGGTAAATTTAAACAAGTATTCGAAAAAAAAACTTTTTAAAGTTTTTTTTAGAAAAAAAAAGACTTTTCTAAGCCCTAAATTAATTTTCTAGAAAAATGTAGGGCGTAGCTGTTTATGTAGTGAAAAAATCCTATTCCTTTTTTCCGATTAAACATTTTAGCTCAGATTTAGCTCGGTAGTTTCGCGAAAAGTTTCCGAATTAAGCAAAATTTCAAAAACTACAACTTTTAACGCGATAACTTTTTCATCATAAAATTAGGACGACACCAACTATGCAACGAAGATTCACAAAAACTGTTCTTTCGATTAAACCCATATAATAAATCTCGATTTGTCATGGTAGTTTTTGATGAAAATAAAGAAATTCGGAAAATATTCCCCCACTGAACCCTTTCGATTACACCGCAGATTTGTCATAGTCTCTTAAATTGAAAAAAGGAACAAAAAATTTGAAACAAGTTGGAATTAATTTATGTTTTTTCATGGAAGCTCCACTGGACAGGCAGTAAATTATGAAGATATGATTCTTTGGTTAATGAATTTTTTGATGTCGATTGTAAAAAAATTAAAACATGTTAAAAATTAAAAATGTTAAAACTATTTATAATTAAAACATAGCCAACCGATAGTTGGAACGCACGTAAACCGAACGCACGTAAACCGAAAAAGATGAATTAGTAAAGAAAAAAACTTCCACATTTCAAATTTCAATGAAAAAATTATTTGCCCTTGAAACTTTTTAGATTTCAAGAAACATTCATATTCACATTTTTTTGATAAAATTAAACTATATTTCAGAAAACTGGATCAACACGTAAAAATTTGATCAAACTAGAAGTCGATCACGTTTTTCGTGAACTTTCACTTATGATGCTTGCCTTCTTTTTAAAAAAAGGAAATGAGCTCAGTTCAAAAGTCAAACCGCGAAAAATAAATTTGAGCCAGAACAAAATTTAAGACTTGAAAAAAAGTGAAAAAAGAGCACAAAAAATCACCAAGACCTTTATAAGAGTATTTGCCACGTACACTTTCGACAAACGGAATGAACTGAACTTAGAAAAAATCAAAATTCAAATCACGAAAAATCATATTTCCTGAAACAAAAAGAAAAAATCATCACGGCCTACATAAGAGTCCGAACTACGTTCATCGACTCTTAATAAAAACTTATTGGACGAAATCCTGCAATAGCAGACGTCTTTTTTCCTTCCCTCACTTCGCATGGGCATCAATTTTATGGCGCAACGAGTGGTTTTACACGGTCCAGTATGACAACCAAGTTTGTGTGTAAAGGCCTTATTTGTCTAAATGCTAATTTTTGGAGTTCAAAGGTGGGAAAAAAGAAGAGCACAGTAAAACTCCGAATCATAACATGTGAGTCGTATCGAGGTTAAAAATTATTACCTCCATATGGGACGGCTATTCAATTGTTCAATTTCTCCCAAAAACGTACATACAATGACAAACGTAAAATGTACATGACTTACTTGAGGCATAGCCGGCTCATCTTCGGGCGCTTGTGCGAGCACCGACAAGGACATTATTAAGGCTGCAATTGCAAGAGAGACCAGTCGCCCCATCTGTGACGACTTATCCCCGTGTAACTGCAAAATCATTTCGTATCTGAAAGTTACAGAAATCAGGACTGCTTTGAGACCTAATAATTATCGACGTTTTTACTGCATATTCCAACCGTTCCAACAGACAACCCCGACAATTGGATAAGAGTCCATGATCGCAAGGAAAAAGAAAAAAAACACTGGATTATTATTTTAAAAAAAAAAACTCCACTGGAATTTCAAAGAAAAAATAATAGCCTTGAAGCTCTTTCAATTTCTAGAACAAAATTTTTTTGATAAAATTAACCCAATTTGAAAAACTGGATCAAGAAATATTTTTTTATTTGGCAGGGAAATCTGAAAATTAAATTTCACTGTCGAAACTAGAAGTTAATCAGGTTTTTCCTGAACCCTACACTTTTGCTGTTCGAAATTCAAGCTTGCCTTCCTTTTGACAAAGCAAGAAAACTGAATTTTAAAAAAATTAATCAAATTTCACTAATCAAACTTTAGCGAGAACCAAAAATCATAACGAACAATACCATCACCAAAAAAAAATCATTACGAACCATATAAGAGTCCTCACTACGTTCATCGACTCTTAAAAAACACTGAGTTGCAAAAAATAGCGAACAATATACGTGACAATATAGCGAAGTTCTATAAAAATCGTCATGCAAAACTTTGGGACAAAAATGCAACTATCTGAGTTGCCATGTTTTTTCTCAAGACGTTGTTATAATAGAGATATCATAACCATTCAGCCTTATCCACCCAAATTAACTACAATTAGCTACATCTAATTTTAATTTCTAGTTAGAAACGCAGAACAACGTGAAAACAAAATTATATTTACGGAACTATTATAACTAACAATATTATGCCGTATAAAGCTTGATATTTTGTTTTTGTCAAATGTTGACCAGTTCTGATAAATTCTAAATTGAAGTGATGCATGGCAAAAAGTGAACTTCATAAAATGAAGATCCGGAACCTCAGCAAGCCTACGATAGAAAAGAAAGACACATGATAAGCACTAAAATGTTTCGTGTCCAAAAATGTGATTTCAAATAAAATAATTATCAATATTTTTCCAATGATTCGATGTGTTGCTATACTGTGTCATCGTGGAACCACCAGCGAGTCTTTTTAGGATCCTTGCTGCAAGTTTTCACATATCTGTCATTGTCAGGGGGGAGTTCTTTACGAGGACATGAGTTAAGCATGCTGACTATGGACACGCAGACACTTTCCACAGTCATGGCCGGAGACCAGTCTTCAGCCAGTATCGAGAGACAGATATGTCCATTGCTAAAATATACGCTGAATATTTGAAGCCATTGAGTAACTTGACACAGAAGCGCACTTCGCTTAAGAAAGCTAACAAAAGCACAGACACCGCTAGAGGAAACCAAGACTTAGTTTGCTTTCACAATTTACTTGAAATATTTTTACATATCTCCGAACTAATCAGTTAGATCATTGAAATAAAACCCTAAAATGGCTGACAGCATCACTTTTCACAACTAACTTTTCATGTATTTGAAAAAAACACAAAATCGTCAAATAGAAGTTTTTGACTAATCATATTTCGAAGCCAAAATCTCAATTCCTGGGAGAAAACTGACAGCTCCCACCGTAGGGTTGCTAATTTGTGAAAGGACTCTAAAAGGAAATTTGAAAATTAACGTTGTGAATAAAGGAAAAATTGCTGTTCCAAATTCGTGATGCAACAGATTTATGGTGGAAAAGTATGATGACCTTGAATATTCAAGGTATGATCATCTTGAAACTTGGTGAAAAAGTATGATGACCTTCAAACCTCGTTTAGAATTTTTTAAAACAAAGCTAAGAGAACGTTGGAAAAGAGTTAATGCCTTAAAAATTCTAAGATTTAAATTCTAAGATTTAAAATCTGGAAATTCTAAGATTTAAAATCTAAAGCCTTAAAAATCTTAGAATTTCCAAAAAAAAATTAATGATTGACATTTTTTTGATAAAATTAAATCAGTTTGAGAAAACTGGATGAATAGATAAATTTTCTATTTCGCTGGGAAATGTGAAACTTACAATCTACGTTCGAATCCAAAAAGGGTCAACATCAAGCCGCAAAAAGTAAAGTTGAGACTGAACAAGTTTACTTTACCTGAAAACAAAAAATCATCACGACCTACGTTCATCGACTATTATACATCGACTTTGAAAAAAGTATCAAGTGAAAAGCTAGCTAAATATTGTATAGCTAGATTATAATAACATCATAAAAAACATAATTACCAAAAAAAAACTTTTCGTGACGGAACAAGTACATGAGCTATGCAGAAATTATCGAATGATATCATAGCTCCAATTGCAGTGTTCGCCATAAGGTCATCGCCCTGTTTAAAGGCGCCGCGAGAGAAAAAATTAGAAGTCATTGACCCGCTAAGCTGAGAAAATCAAATTTATGGAAACGAACAAGAAAAAGTTTGGATACAAAATAAGGATAATCTTCGCAAATAACTACAGAGAAAAACGAAGGACAGGAAACACGCTCTTTTATGCAAGTAGTTCGTTGCTCAAGCAATTAAAAATATTTAAAATAAAAATTAAATGGACAAAGTGGTAACAGTTTCTAGTTCGTTAAACACATCGGTCAGCCGGGGCCACAGGTCAATTGGGGTTATAGTAGTGGCGTTCTTGGAACATTTAAAGAGGTCTAAAGTGGTGTTGGGGGCATGCATAATCCGAAAATTGTCTGAATTAAGCCTTGTCGGTAACCTGTTGCGTCTCTTTAGATTGACCACAATTTGTACCTCATAAGGCCTACAGTATCGTTATCCTGCGCGAAAATTTTGCCGAAATTCGCTTGCAGTTTTCTGCGAAGTTAAGGGATGGGCCAAACAAGACGAGTTAAGGGATCGTGTATTTTGGGGTGCATTCCTAATGGAGGGGGTATTTACCATTGTCACTACGGGTAGTATTGAACACCTTATTGAACAAAAAAAAGGCTGGCGGAGCCTTTTGATGAGGAAAAAATAAGCGAATTGGACTTCAAAAATTGGTTTAACTTGCTGAGTAGTTTCATAAAAACAGTTAAGCTTATTGAAAATTGCTCGACTGAAAAAAAGGGGAGAAAGTTGTCTGCGTATGATTTTAATTTATTTTCGGGTGATGATAATGGCGCATAATGAGCTTAAAAATTGAACAAAGTAGGTGATAGTACAGCCTTGTGGGACATCTATGCGAACGCTGGTGTCATGACACGGTACGCTGGTCTCATGAATGAGATCCAAGAAACTTCGATCACAGACCATTGCGAAAGCTTCAGATAATGCAAGCGTAGCTAAAACTGTTTTAGTGGGTAGCATTTCTTGTCTAAAACCATCATTGACTAAAAACTCAAGCCAGATGGTTGATAGAATTTGAAATTATAATACAGAGGCGAAGCTGTGATTCGCAGACATTCGCTAGAACGACCAAAAAGCAGTTCTATCAAGTGAAATAACCAGAAGTAGAAATAAGGCCGGAATAAGCATAAACTCCGCTAGTGTCGGATTCGAATCTGCGACCTAGCAAAGTTGAGTCTCGCGCACAAATCACTGAGCCACGGATGCATAAAATCCCAATAACTAGCCATCAAAAACTCAGCTACATCTGCTAAAAAAATTTCCAATTCGATGCAGGAAAACTAGCACCGAATACAAAAAGACACAGTTTTGCATGTAACGTATAGGAAAGCATAGAGCCGAATTATGTTCAAATTATGCATTTCAAAAAAATGCGAGATAAAATGAGTTGCAAAATTTCTGAAATCGAGTTTGAAACAAATAACTTTTTCGGTTCATTTGATGAATTAAAAATGCATCAGCTCTGTTAACTTTTTACTTTTCAAACGTCACAGCATATATGATGTTATACTGCTAAGGCAGCTTACCCATTCAAAAGCGCCCCCAAAAGTAGCACTTTTAATTGCAACTAAAAATGAAAAAAAAGAGAAAGTTCGTACTACACTTTGAAAGTTCGTACTAATTCCGAAAAAGTCTAAGCTAATGAAAAATAATTCCCTTTTCCCCCTAAAACACACGAATGGAGACAAAATTTTTTTTTGATCCTCAAACGACGCAAGAAGAGGTCACTAAGTCGATATAAATTAATCCGAAACTTATTAAGCCGATAAAACAAAATTTTAAATCGACAAACAAAAAATCACAACCAATGTAAGAAACAAATTTCAATTCGACCGTTTCTAAAATGCTAAAACACTTAAAGTAACTACAGTGAGACTTATTTGAAATTTAAAAAATCGATTCTTAGATGTGGACAAAACAAGCATACAAATAATAGGGCGAAATTGTTTGAACCAGAGCATTTACCGTTTGACAAACAATAGTTTCTAGTCAGATTCGAACCCATGACCTTTATGGTCCCAGTCGTCTTCGATGCCTCCAGGCTAGGTGTGCAAGAGAAATTTGAATTCCTTATAAACCATGGTACCACCAGGAGTCTCGATGCGTCCTGTGAACAAAGTTGATTACGGGAAAAAAGGCTAATACCCGATTTTAATACCCCTGCTTATCGCAAGGGTCAACAAAGATAGTCGGTTGCTGTCCAAGAAGAATAGAATGTTCCGAATATATTCATATAACACAATACATTTTTAAAAAAATTCTTTTTTTTTCAAACTAGTGCTGATTTTTTTGTGGTGTGATGAAAGGATCTGAAGAAAACCTGAAATTTAGGTATATTCGAAGGTCACCGTAAGATAGGAAAATCGAGCAACGGTTTTTGTCAATAAAGGACAAAAAAAACAAAAGCGCAAAAAATTTTTTTTTCTAATTATTGAGATCAATTGTTTTGAACTTTTGAAGCTTTTCTTACAAAAAAGAAGACTAAAAAAATTCAAAGAAAAATTTGCTTAAATTTCATGGCGTATCCTTCTCTAATAAGCCTGCTCGCTTGCTTTTATCGCTCGAAACAAGACCTTGAAACAAAATTTCAAACCGGTTTTTCTCGACTGAGAAAATTATAAATGACGTTCGGATCACGACTGAAAGGACTGTAATATGATATATCGCCTTAAATATTAATATGATATACTCGACCTATTCCGATGATTATTTGCAGTACCTGATTTTGCGTGATAAAAAAAACGCCCGAAAACAAGGTTGCTCCCCATTTTTCAAATGATCGGAACAAAAATCAAATCAAAAGACGCAATTATAACCGTTTTTAGTTATTCCAGCTATTGAAACTAGTCGGGACCAATAGCATCAGCTGCAACTCCTTGCTTTATCAATTTATTACTATGTGCACATTAGTGATGCTTAGCCACTGCATCTTTTTGCACCCATAACAGTGTTACCTAAATGATGTGTAATGTAATCAAATACATGCGCAATCAGGGGCTGATTAAGGGGGGGGGGGTGGGTGGCGCTTTTGCTTTTTCTCAGAGATTCGACCCACTGCCGACCCAAAGGGTCCCTTGTTTGTTCTGATTTGAGATATCCGATTTTGGCTGACTGACCCTAAAATACGTCTGAAGGCTCCCTCCTTTGGCGCCAAAATGTACTAATTTTGATGGGGGAGCGCGCGCCGAAAAAAAGTTATTTTTTGGTGAAAATTTGTCAAAAAAGGCCTAAGAGTGCCTGTTTTTTTTTCAAAAATTTGCATGCGGCGTAAAAAAAATTTGACCAAAATAGGGTCTTCATAGTGATTCGATTTTTTTTGAAATTCCGCCCTACCCCTTCGAAAAAATCTAAGATCCGCCCATGTGCGTAGCAAAGATTATTTCTTTAAACATCGTTATCGAACTACCAACCTGTAAACATGAGGGTGCTCGGGGATGTTATCTCCTGTGAACGTTACTCCAGGTGAATCGAACGGGTATTGCTCTGTGAACTTGAAACACAGCAGGAACTCCTCCCCACTGTAGATGCTCTCCCCGTGAGGTATCAATTTCACTTGCCATTCGTCAAACTTGTCTGTTATAGTCACAAACTCAAGGTTTAAATTTTGACTGTTTTTAACCTCTTTAATTTCATTTTGAAGACGTTTAGCTAATCTTTGACTCATGGGTCGCCAAGTCGGTGTATAATTTTAAGACAAATTAGATTTGGTTACGTAGTTTCAACCTGGTTCTACTTTCGCTTTCACTATCATCAAGATGCATTGACCACAGCTTCTGGAAATCTAACCATTGAAATCTGAAAACACGGAGCATTTAGGGGCCACCTACAACACAGGGCTTGCCAGTCACATAATTCTACGCACAGCCGCCAAAGCTGCACTTCGCCAACTCAAGCAACACGCATAACAAACAGACAGTTCAAAAAAAATTACGAACCACTGGAACAAAAAAAAATCACTTTTTTTTAAACAAATTTTCAATTTTCGAAGAAAAATGCGCATCACATTACAGCTCTTCGATTTCAAAAAATCTTTTATGATTGACTTTTTTTCAATACATAACCCAATAATAAAAAAATCAATAAGCAAATAATTTTTATTCTGCTGGGAATTGATTTACACTTTCGAAACGAAGTCATTTAAATTTTTCGCGACATTTGCAGTTTTTGAACTTGCAAACCGAAAAAAAAAAATTAAAGTATAGCAAAAAAATACTGAGGACAGCAAATTCCATGCTGTGGCAAACAGGCCGGCAAAAACTATACGGGAAAAAGAATTCCCAGAAAAAAATATACTTTTTGTCGAGCGTAAAATTTCCGTTTACAAAAAAAACAAGTCCTGGCCAAATTCGAACAACGAACCCTTGTCTCAGCAGGAAGGTCCGTTAAATCTATGTCCCATTTGTGGATTGACGCCTTGATTTTATTTTACGACGAATCGAGGTGTCAAAAGATTGTGTAACTAATTATAACACTGAAAAAAACTCTATTTCGATTTGATAACGCCTGCTAATCGCAAGCGTGAACAAATCAAGGGTAAAACCGCACGAAATCTTTTTTGAGCATTATTTGACCGTAAGACTTTTACCTGGACATAAAAAACACGAACTCAGTAAGTGTCTTGACTCCGTTCATTGACACTTAAAACGGCTAAGAGTCAGTTGCATTCGATGCTTATCTACTGCTTCTTGGAGTAAACTACTTTAGAAAAACTCGTAGTAACAAGACTGCTCTGCAAGGTACAACCTTGAATGCCCCGATCATTCTTTAACGCTCCTTAAATAATTTTTGGTTTAAATCGACGAAATTCTGAAAAAAAATTCCAGCTAATGCTAATTGCAGTAAGTAAAAAAGGCCGAAGCCAAAATCATCAAAAACACTAAGGAATTTTAAACTGGGATCAACAAAATCATCAGTTTTGGAGATCTCTGCTTCAGTAAAATCCTTCTTTAGCCACACACCAACTGTGTCTAAATTAATTGAACTCTTCCAACACGAACACAAGAACGAAGGCAACAGCTTTAAAAAATGTTCAGCCGAATGAAATCAATGCTTTTTATCATTAAAACTGTTTCAACTCAAAATGCGTCAAAATTTATTATCCACCAAATAAGCATAGCTGACAGCAAGTTGGAAAAAGTCAATGACGCAAGGAAACAGAAAAAAAACTGATTTGATTTTTGAAAAAACTTCCGAAATCCAAAAGAAAAACATTGCCAACAGACAAAAAAAAACAAAAAAATAGACATGTTTTTCAAAAACTCAAATTTCAAGAAAAATAGATAGCCATAAAACTCTTCAACTTTCTAAAACAAAAAATGAGCTGAACTAACCCAATTTAAGAAAACTAACCCAATTTAGATGAACTAACTCAATTTAAGAAAACTAAATCAATAAAAAAACTTTATATTGCTGGAAAGCCTGATAAATGAAATCCATTTTCAATATAAGATGTCATCACGTTTTTTGTTACCTTTATATATCCTCTGTTCGATAGCAGAGTTTGCCTTCCTTTTAAAAAAGACATGAATTGAACTTGAAAGCTAAAATCAAAAATAAAACCGCGAAAAACCAAATTTGAGGGTGAGTCTTCACTACGTTGGTTGAGTCAAAATAAAACTATTTCAAAAATATTTCAATGTGCACGAATTGAACCTGCGCCATGGTCCCTTGAAAATCAACAAAACTACAGATGATATCAAATTGTTTGTGCATAGAAATATAACAAAAATGCAACCAAATGAGCCCTTTTATATGCAACTAGATCGTAAAACAATGTGCTTTGTAGTTTTACACAACGCTCTAACTTGTTTTAAATTAGAAAGAAAGACAATTTCAACCAACGACCTGGCCCTGTTGAATGAAGGTACATCAAAATGGTAAATTAAGAGTCGAATAAGCCTATTCTGGCTTAGCGGGAAAAAATTTACAATGGAAAAAACCAAAAAGCAATAAAACACCATGATATCGCAAAATTGTTCCGAGAGAAAAAAGTTTCTAACCACTGGACATAGATTTCTGACATAGATTTTGTCAGAGTAACATATCACAGACACCTCGTTGGCAGTAAATTTAACTGGATTACGCAACAAGAGGCTGTCAAGTCGATATATTGTGACCAGGTAATTGAAAAGATTTCTCTCGTTTCATATCTTTATTTTCAATCAGAATTGGAATACTTTTCCAAAGCAACCAACCTGTCAAAAAAGGTACTGCTAGTTCGCTGGGAAATCTGATATTTATTTTCTTTTTCGAAATAAGTCATTTACATTTTTGCTGTTCGATAGTGAAGTTTGCCTTCCTTTTTACAAAAGAAATGAAGGGAACTGAAAAAGAACTCAAAAGTCAAACCGCGAAAATTCAAAAAATCACCAGGACCTATATAAGAGTATTCACTACAATCATTACTCTTAGACGCAAGCAAAAAATGCAAAAGGGAGCTTCTCAAGGCAAAAAAAATACATTGGCAAGAAAATAAGATTTCAAAGAAAAAGAATTCGTCCTATATTCCATTTCAATGGCAGAACTCCCAATTATGAGTCATTTGCCTTCTCCACAGAAACATCCTGCCTTAAGAACCTTTTACACTCTAAATATCAGGCATCAATCTATGGGCGTTCGTAAAGCGGATAAAACAAGCTACTATATTGAAGTAACACAAAAATAATGGGACTTCGTTTAGAAAAAGTTACATCACATAATAACAGAAGCATTTGCTGGAGATAAATAAGCGCAGTCTAAAAATTAGTATGAGAAACGGAAATAATAAGAAGAGTTTTCTCGACACTGAGTCAATTTTATCGATTCTTTTCAAATCAAAGCCATGACTAAAAATGTTTTATGATACCATACTCAATTCTCTGCTGGCGTTCTTTACAGGATGAAGGATTCTGTATGACATGACAAACACGCTAGTTCCTCCTTCTCACTTCATGAATGCGAGAAAATTAATTTTTCAATTTTTAGATTCAAAGAAATTTCAATAAATTTTTTAGAAAAGACTTGGCTGGAGAAAAGTCTATAGCATGAATAACTTTCTTCAGTGCGTTCAGTAAAACAAAAATTATCTCGTATTCTTTCAGTTCACTAAAATTTCTTGTCAAGATTTGAATTTATCTCGAAAAATTAATGATTAAAAAATATATTTTTTATTAGAAAACAAATTCCATTTTAATTTAAATTATGACATTTTCAGCCGAATTAGCAAGTATCTGATTAATAAATTCGATATAACTTCAAGAGCTATCAAAGCCATCGAGTCATCTCTCCAAGATCTGGAGTCAAAAAGAAATAATTTAAATAGGTTACCATCTAATATGAAGGAATACAAGCAGCTCGCTCTCATAACGTTTTATCCAATTTATCTAACTTTTTATTGGGAGGTAGCCAAGACATCATAAAGAAATTGCACTTTTAGAATCTACCTTTAAAAACACTCCGATTTCACAAAATTAAATGACCCCAGATGAATAATTTGAGCACAGATGCGGCACATAGAAGCTAGAAACATGAGGCGTTAGTTTTAGCAGACTCCAAAATGGCAGATAACGGAGGTTTTCTATTCCAATCATTTCAAAAAGCCAAGAATAGTTAAGCATGTAGAAAATTTATGAGAGTGAAAAACAAACAGACCTCCGTCAAATGTTTAAAGCGCATGTTAAGAATTTCCGTTTTACCTGAAATAGCTTTAGGCTGTAGAACAAAAAAATGGATAAGTTTATGACCAAATAAATTTGAAATCAAATCTCTAACAACAAATTCTGCGTCTAATTCTAAAACCAGGAGCCGACGCGACTTCTGCTTCCCATCACGCACGAATTTGACCTTTTCCACCAGAAGGCTTCCTTTTCTTTACTATTAAAGTACACCCTACTTAGCTACCCAACGTACTTACCCACAAACTATTTGCCCAATTTAGTTTCAAAAATAATCAGAATTAGCCCTAAAATATCCTTTCGCAAAATTATTTCATTATAACATCAGCCCCTGGAGGTGGAGGGTGGTCAAAAAGGCGAAGACACATTGTTTTTACAATGTTTTTTTAGCAAAAACATCAGAGCTATGAAATCATTTACTTCCAGCTTGATGTAGCGAATCTGATATGCTAATATTGAGCTTAATTTCCTGGTGAGCGACTAAGGCTGTATCATTTCTTTCGAGCAGTAACTGAGAACTGTCCACTTGTTCACACGACTCTGTTTTACCTCCACGAATGTCCAAACTTCGGCGATTTGATCTTTTTTCTTCACAACTAACTTGTCGATTTTCAGAGCAAAATTTATCTGCATCTGTATCGTGGTTTGAGCGACAAGAGTTACTACAAGTTTGATGTGACACTATTGCGTTTTTTCTATCATTTCGGTCTTCAGAAAAAGAAGGCAGCACTTGAAATGGGAAACTACTGGACTGCTGATGAAATGAGTTAGTAATCACAGGAGCTGTATCAGCTATTGGCAAAGATGTTGACGGTATCGTTTCTTCCTCGTGAAATGAAAGACTTTGTTCAGCATTTAGACCATCACTTTGTTCTCTTTGATGTTGAATGACAAGATCTTTATATTTTTCACGTGCCGATTCGGTTAGTTCCATCAAACGATTGAAGCTTTCCTAAGAAAAAAATATCACATAATTTTTCAGCAACAAAGGCAACCGAAATTCAGAGGCAAGAGAAGAAGACAAAGCGAAGATCAACATGTGCGTCTTCTTCAGTTTACATTTAACTCCTGTCAAAAGTCACATAAGTCGCCTAAGATATTTTTCAAAGGATCATTTAGGTCTAAAAGAAACTAACGTCATTAGATCTCATATGCATTTTCAAATGTAGTCAAAACCGCTGTTAAAATTAGCTTGCCAGCTTGAAAATTTCTCTCAAATTTTCTTTCAGATGGAAAATGACAAACAGAAGCGGCACGCCGCATACAAATGCAGAAGAAAAAGATGAAAAAAGACACTGAAATTCAAGCTAATACAATCCCTATGTTGAATCGAGACGTTGCCTTTGCTTCTCTAGTGCAGTCAACGGTTATGTCTCTGGCTTCAAAATAACCTTTAAATTGAAATCTATAAATTTGAACTCATCTCACCTCGGCGCCCTGATAATTGAACACTCCCACGACCGAAACAGGAACATGTTTCTTCATAGTAATTCCCAGCTGCCTTCTACTCAAAGCAAACACAAACGGTATGTCCTTCTCGCGAGCCAATGCTATGAGCTCATCCATTACGTCATCCAGACCTCCCTTGGCTGCCACTTTCTCCATATTGGGTGAAAATATGACCAGTTTTAGCTTCTCCAATCCCAGGTGTTTTTTCACTTCACGCAAGCCCATCACCAAGCGTCTTTTAAGTTTCACCTAAGACAAGTGTAACCCATAAACATAGCTAACAGACAGTTGGAAACGAGTCAACAAACGCATTGAAACAAAAAAATACTGCCTTGTTTTTTGAATAAATTCAAGAAAGAACATATGGCCTAAAGCTCTTTGAATTTCAACAATTTTGGTTGACAATTTTTTGATAAAATCAACCTAATTTAAGACAAAGAGGCTAAGCTGTGACTTCTGAAAAACTTCAAGAGAGCGGCAAAAGAATCAGGAGCTTAAAAATGCACAAAAACAAAAATTTTGCATGAAATAATTTGGAATTTAAAAAACTAAAGGCAACCACACTAACTTTGCATGCAATCAATTGGAAAGTGTAAGTGTGAAACCAAATTGTGTAAAAATTATGCATTTCAAAAATCTAGCAAAAATACAGAGTTAGAAGTTTTCTGAAATTGAATTTTAGTTTTTAAACTGTTATATAAAACAATTATTTTTTTTTCGAATCATTGAATTAAAAAAGTACCATTTGTGTTAAGTTATTACTCATCCAATTTCAAACCGCATGGTATTGTACTGCCAATGCTGCCTCAAAAAATAGCACTTTCACATTGGCAAAAAACATCAAAAATGGCACTTTTATTTGCGATTTAGGATGGGGGAAAAACTTGAATCGTACTATCACAAGGCAGTTCTGATTTAAATTATCCCAAAAAAATAGTTCAATTGCTGACAAAATTATATCACAGCAAGCTTCTTATGTAGCCCAACAATGCTCAACAAGGATACAATTTCCAAAAATGGGCACAAACTGTTTTAAAAAATTTTGTAAGTAAAAACATTGGTGTTTTATTTTGTGAAAATGACATTTTTTGGCCTTCAAACAAAAATAAATTTGTTTACAACATTGATACGATTATTTACTTCTTTAACTTTGTTGGACTACATGAGACGCTTGCTGTTATATAGTTGTCAGCAATTAAACAAATAGTTTTGGCGTAATTTTGAATGACTAGAAAAAGCCAAAAATGATTGCTTTTGTGGAAAACTGTGAGCCCGATTTTCGCAAAAACAATTGCACCATAATAATTCTGTTACAAATCGAAGCAAGATTGGTCTCATCATTTTTGTCAAAATCAGCCCAATTTGAGAAAAAACGCGTTTTAAACTTAAATTCATTAGTTTCGCCCGAACAACTTAAATTAGCACTGTTCGCTCGGCTTGCGTAAGAACTGGATTAAAGGTAACTATTTTATTCCGATTCGAAATCCAAAAATAAAAATAAACTTTCGAACTCGACGCTTAATTTAAAACAAACAAGCACTAACCACCAATAAGCAGAGAACAGGTCCACCAATGAAGCAGAGAACAAAGTTAGGTTAGAAAAAAGAAGGTTCGTACTAATACACAAACGCTCGCAAGCTTGCTAGTGTAAAAACATTTATTATAAAGAAACTGATTCAATATTTTTTTTCTGGCATATTTAATATTCATTTTGTTCAAGAAAATCAAATTTCTGCCTGACTATATCAGGAGAAACTGGCTAATAACCAATTAGCTCATTTTCAAGTAGATACTATGGGCTGATTAGAGTGAAAGACGCACCTTTGCGGGGTCCAGTTTGACGAATGACTTGCACTGAAATTCAAATAATTTCTGAAGAAGGTCAATCGCAGCATCATTGATTGGCTTCGAAACAACATGATTGCAGTATCTGTCAAAAAATACCATGAAAGAACTCAATACTCAATATGTATAATATAATTAAGTACAAGCGCGTTACCCAACCACACCGAGCACCAAAAAATGCTTACAACTTTAAATACTTGAAAATTACATTATTAGCGAGTGAAAATACTTGAAGGAATTATATTCTGAAATCCTTAAACAGACTGAATTAAAAGCTTTTGCTGCCTAACAATGTTAATATTTTGCTGTTAGTTCTGCTTAGAGATCATAATGAAATCCGGAATATGTCTATACTCACGCAACTAATAATCTGAAAATATGTTTTAAATTGAATAATAATAGTGGGCTGCTTCGCGACTCGGATCACTAGGCATTTCTGTTAAAACCACACATTCTTAAAACCACGATGTATTTTAAATTTTAAATCACGCATTAAATTTTAATATTTTTCTTAGAATATCCTTAACTACTTACTCCCTGAATTTCCTGCTGTGAATTTTCGGCAATATTTCAATTTTCACCCTAGTCAAGTTTGTAGTTTCGGAACGAGCAGGGCAATCCGAGTCACTCGTATTAAGGGCAGAAGGTAATTCGGGCAGAGAAAACAGGGTAATTGCCGAGTCTGATCGTGATGGAACTGTTGACGCCGGTAGAATACTACTAGCTCGGCTTTCTGACGAGAACCCGCTATGACTGAACCTGTCGTCGGCACTGGGCAAAAGGATGCCGGTGTCGTCACAAAACGACTCATCAGCGAAGTTGGATCTTTCGGCTCCCTTATCATCGTCATTGTCAGTGGTCGCAATTTGTTCATAGTTCGAAGTATTTAGTAATGAAGTACCACAACACGAGTCCGAAACGTCGGATAAGGAATGATAGATTTCTCCAAGGTTATTGTCCAGAGTTTGCTGCATTGTTGGAGCAGAATCGGAGCTGTAAACAACTAACCGCAATCAAACCGACAAATCAAAATTCACCCAGAGAAACGAGCCGTATACGGTAAAAACTTAAGCCCACTATAGATGGTAACAGTTTTTTTCAACCCATTTTCTTGTTCTTTTACCAGTAAACTTTACCCAATTTTGAACACTAAACACACAATAAATTAGCACAAATATTTAGATTTTTTTAGATTTTGAACCTTAAACCAAAATGAACGTGTGTATTACTTTAGTTGGTTATTTGGCTCCTGGCCGTCGCTCAGCCCATTCTCTCTCAGACTTTTGCGATCCTTCCTGTCTTGCAGAATGACTTTTTTCAATGGAGTTGGTCTCTTTGATTTTGGCACCTCTCGCTGCTTCCCTTTTTTCGCAGGTCTCTGAAACAATAAAATTATTACCTCAGGTTAAAAAACAGCCTAATTAACATTCTTATTCCAATATTGTTTTGATCGTTTCAACTATGATTTTTTGTTCGTGAAGTCCGGTTGTAAATTTTTTGCATTTTTCAAGAAGTTCGCGTTACTCGTGGTTGACATCACTTGTTTTACTGATTCATGAAAAAAGAGCTGCAAATCATAGAAAAAGAATAAAGCTAGACAAATGTGTAGAAAATAAGTATTAGAGACGCTGTAACAAAATCAACATAGCCATCAGACAGTTCAATGAACGCAAAATCAATGAACGCAAGTAAACAGAAAAAAGTACTGACTTGTTTTTGAAAAAAATAGAAAGTCATAAGCTCTTTGAACTTCCAGAACAATTTATGATTGACACCAATCTGAGAAATTTAGAGCAATAAGTTTTTTTATATCGCTGGGAAATCTGATAATGAATTTTTTTTTAGAAATTATGAGACAATCCCGTTTTTCGTGACCTTCACACTTTCGCTGTTCGATAGTGGAGTTTGCCTTCCTTTTAACAAAGGAAATGAACCGAATTCACAAAAATCAAACCGCGAAAAAGTACATTTGAGCTTGAACAAATTTAAGGATTTTTTCCTGAACGACATTCATCGACTCTTAAACAATGAAAAGGATTAACAGAATCGAGTGGATAGGAAAACAGGCTTTCGAAATAGCGAAATTTAAAAGTCAGACCATTGAAACTTTATCGCAAAATGATTAGCATCTGTGAGCCTTACCAAAATTTCGGAAGCTTGATTTTGCTTGGTAGGAGAAGCTGCAGACACTTTCAGAGATTGTTTGGTAACTAACTCGCTGTCACTCACAGCATGCACCTAAACAGTATACAAGTGTTAATTAACAAGCCGAAATTATGCTAGCCAAAACTTTCATATAAGTATATGCCAGCCAAAACTTACATATAACTCAAAACTATTATTAAGTATAAACCTACCAAAGTTACGACGTTATTTAAACGAAACATGCATGAATTTCGTAATTGCTACTTAACTTTCATGTAACAGCTACGTATGTGCATCTGGTTTATATAATAGCTGGTTTATACTTCGGCTGCTTCACATACCGACGCAAAAAAAAAAACAGTCATTTGACAGTTGGAAAAGAGTAATGAACGCAAGGAAACTGAAATAAAAAACTTTTATTTCGCTGGGAAATCTGTAATAACGGAAAATCAAATTGAGTGTGAACAGATTTTAGGACTTTTTCCTAAAAAAAAACAAAAAGAAATCAGCAAGACCTATATCAGAGTACTCACTACGTTCATTGCTCTTAATAAAATCAACACAGGCAAAGCATAGCTTCGTACCATTTCCGATAGAATGACTGTCACTACTTGCCGATGAATTTTGCAAAAAAAAATCCGAAATCTTGGGACTGAATTACCTGTGTCTAGAAATTTTACAAAGAGAGTGACTAATAAACTATAAACAAGTGACTAAGCAAAAATATAGAAGTCGAAACCATTTAAGCCAAATAAACCTTGAAGCAAAAAAAAATAATCATAAAAAAAGAAACTATACAATTTCAGGGCTGATACATGACAGGAATAAATCAAAATAACTTTTAACACAGAGGCAAAGCTGCATCTTGCAAACAAAAGCGAGAAAACGACAAAGTAACCCAACTAAAGTTGAAAAAATTGAAAAGGGCAAAAAACTTTTTTAAAAAAGCCTAGAAAAAAATAATATCGAGCCCCCACCTCCAGATGAGGCGTCTCACGACCTGGCATCTACGTCATGTATGCAAGAAGATACGTAAACATTAGTCACCAATGAAGCAATTATAATAAATGCTATTAAATTGCCAATGCTATGCAGCAAAAATGCCATCAAAGGAGCACTTTTATTTGCGAGTTAGGTTTGAAAAAATTGGATAGGAAATATAGCACTACGCTCGCAAGTTGTTTGCTATTGTGTAGCAAACCCTATTACTTCTCTAAAAAATCAGGGCTGTGGAAACTAAGCCGAGGGATATTAAATACACAAACGATAGATTAGGACTTCACATTTTTCACAAAAAATTTAAAACCAAACAAACCTTAAAAAAAGTCTTTAAGAAAAAAACGACCAAAATAAGTAGGATCCTTTCGTTCTTTGGCATGTAATTACAGCCCACATTCTAAGCAGAGATGTTTTTTGCATTTAGAGGGGGTCTAAAACTTGCTACAGGGATATAATGGAATAGAACGACAATGATAATTTTATCAAAAAAGCGGCGATCAGTAACTTGAGTTTGACTTGATCTGCCATTAAGCGTTAATATTTATAGACTAATTTAATACAAATTTATCATAAGAATAATTTCAGACATTTTATGTTCAACGTTTTTTTCTTTCTTTGAGGCTTAACGAAAAACTAGGTAATATATAAATTTTCAGTACAAAGTACAATGATGCCTTTTCGCACCATTAATGTTGCGTTACTTGCAAAAATAGTTTGACTTTTGATTAGCCTTTATTTGAAAAAAAAAGCTTAAGAAAAGCAACGAGGTTTTCGTGAGAAAATTGAACAAAAAAATGCCGAATTCATTTAATATCTAACTTTGTCAGATTTCTTTGAACCCTTTTCTGCTTTATTAGCTTTTGCGTCGCCCTTTGTCCCACTGGAGGCTGGCACTTTCTCATTGACTGACTTCAGGAAGGCTGTCAGAGGTAGGTCCACCATAGGTTTCGAAGAGTTCAACCCTTTGGCTTTTACAGTTTGTGTAACAGTAGTTGAAACAGCTATAGGCGTCCTTTGCACACCCTCGTCGTTAGTATTTGATCCATCTCTTAAGCTCGGATCAATTGTGGAGGTGTCTTCGTGTGTTAGGAGCTGAGCCTGGTGCTTTTCGGATGACTGTGTTTGTTTCCAACTGGTAGCCGACTGCTGTTTAATCGTAGTTGTGACCTGGAGTGCCGCAGCTAGCGTTACGTTGGCAGGATTGACCAAAGGTTTCGTATTGCTTACCAGCGCTAAAACAAAGAACAAATGTTTCCAGAAAGTAAACTAACCATAACTAACAGCCAATTGAAAACAATTCCAAGAAAAAGGAAACCGTTTAAAAAATGATTTGTTTTCGGAGCCTTTTTTCGAGTTTTAATACACTTAAGATGCCTCTTAGCGCAAACAAATGTTCACTTTTCCCTTTAAAAAGACACGGCCTAAATCAGTCCTTTTTAGGGCCACTTCTTTTTAGGGCATTAAATATAATTCTTGAAATATTTGAAAGAAAAACTACGCATTATTCATTTTTTTACAGTTTTTGTTCAATGAAGTTAGGTTTACCTGGAAAGTTGTCGTCCATCTGGGAAAAGAGATCCAAGTCGTCGTCCTCTTTGCCCGAAGTGGTACAAATGTCCGTAGGCTGGTTGTTCATGTTTGCATTGTCGTTGGTAAGTGTGCCTCTTTTCTTCCGATTTGCAGCTCCTTTCTTCTTTTTTCTACTTTGTTGTACGGGTGCATTAGTTGCGTTACTCGACTGCGCACTGAATTAATTGATCAAATATAGCAAATAAAATGGTCGGCTATTTTAAAAAAAAAAACGGCTTTTTCCATCCCCTCACCTGCAAAACTTTCTTAAATTTTTGTTCGTAGTCCGACCTACAAAAGTTGGCATGCATGCGGAATAATTAGGCCATCAGAAACATATTTGGTTTTCATAGTTAAACTGTAAAGCCCCTCGCTACACCATAAAATTGGTGTTTAAGTGAGGTGGCGGGGGGGGGGGAGGAAAAAGAGTCAAACAAAAGTTACAATTCAGACCTTTTGAGTAAAACTGCGCCGTGAAGTTGCGGATTTGTCTGCTGCGAGGCCGGAATGGGTGGAGCAACTAAAATTGAACAAAGCAAAATAATGAATTTATGCTTCGGAACTTAACGAAAAACTTTTCCAAGCATATCCACAAATAGAACAAAGATAGCCGGTTACTGTGCAAGTAGCACAGAATATTGTTCCAATCATAGTCTTAAAAAATCTTGTAAACTTTACTCGAGTAAAATAAAGTTTTCACGCCTTAAACTGGGCATAAATAGGCCATAACAAGCCTGCTCGCTCACCTTATTCGCTCGAAATTAGACCAAAAACTTCCAACAGGTTTTTCTCGACACTGCGTTTTCAAAATATCACTCGAAATGTTCCAATGTTTATTTGTGGCACCTGATTTTGCGTGAAAAAAAAAAACTAAAACCCGAATACAAAGTTCCTCCCCATTTTCAATGGTCAGAACAATTACGTTTATCTTTAACACACACTTGTTTTTTTCCGCTCAATCCATGGAGTCATACAATCTCTTTTCCCTTCAAGAGAAATAAAACTTCTCTGAATAATTGCTTTGAACTAGGAATAAACACAGGTGTGTCTGAACGTAACAGTGCTCTATAAATGCCCATCATACTTAGTTATTAGTGATTCTTCACTATTGATGAGATGAACTAACCAGCCACAGCGATTGACCGCTGATTGCTCTTGAGTAAGATGTCATGTTGGCACTCATTCCCTTTCTCGGTTGCACCCGATTGAACTCCCTGCCTGTTTTTAGGCGAACTGTACCCTGAGTCATTATCTGCGGAGGAAACTATTAAAAAGTTGTTCGCTGATGCTGCCGATTCTTGCGAAGTGATCCCATCTTTCTGAGTATTGCTACTAGGTGTTAGGTCTCGTTTAAACATAGGAGAAAACTGAATCAGCGTAAGGAACGCAAGTCTGGATCCAAAATCTAAACAGAAATACCATCACTTGTTTAACTTTAGCCTTTAAAAATTTTTTCACAGCGCTGGTATCGGTCGAAATAAAAAAGACGCCCCCCTGGTTCATTCTCAAATCTCAAAATGGTCGGTATAACAACAACTTTTTGAACACGATGTGCAGTGGATACAATTCTATATTCTAATTTCGAACGATATTTCGATAGAACAATTATTTGACTTTAAAAAACGGTTCAAACATGGATGACAGGCTACTGGTAACAGCACGTGGCCAATTGAGTTTTCAAACGATGTCATACAATCTAGAATTTAAAAAAGTCAAAAGCGGTTAATAAAAACTTCACAGACTGAGACTATTAAAAAAAAAACAATTAGGCTTAAAAATCAATATAATAATTTTGACACCACTTAATTTATTTAATTTCCTGAATATACCTAGTAAAATCCTAAAGAGTCTCCACCCCTCTGAATAAAAACAATATTTATTGCCGTCCGAGCACAATGTCAGTGTTTGCTTTTTAAAATTAATCTCATTTTTAAAACGTAACAGCTGTTGGAGTTTTAGAGCTTTTAAGTTTTTAATATTTCAAATATCCTGAATTCCAATTGGTCAAAGCATTAACTTATTTTAATTAAATATCTACTACCCTTTCTTGAAGAGGTCAGAATGTTAAATGGCTCAAATTTCTTGCTTCAGAACTAACCAAAAAAAACACGAGCAAGAAAATAGTTTCGAGACAAGATTCGCCTCGCTATTCAAACTTTTCAACTTGAAAAGCATTTTGCTTCAATATTGCATCATTATTCGCAATCATCAGCTACTTGGTTCAATAGCATAACCAACGGGTACGCAAAACTAGACGGTCATTTTACGAATACCGCAAATTTAACTAAGAGGCGAAGCTGATCTTCACATCACTAGCAACACAGAAAAAATATGTGCCTCAAAAAGACAACCCATTTTTACAAAACGAAACAAATTTAGCGTTTTTTTCAACGAATTTAGGCATATTCGACAGTTATAATTAAACTAGGTAAATTGGAAAACAGTTTTTGCCCAAAAATGAATAGAAAAACGAAAAAAAAAATCTTATAAAATTTTTTAAAAAATTCAAATTAGTGTCGTTTTTTTTGTGCGTGGTGAGTTAAAAAGATCTGACGAAAGCCCAGAACTTAGGCATATACGATAATCACAGTATGACAGGCAAATTGGGCACCAATTGTGTTCGAAAAATGCTACTTTGCAACTTTTCAGCACAATTTTTGAAATTTTAATTCCCAAAACGCATTAAGAAAACTTTTTGAAATAGTTAAATTAAGAGTAAAACTAAAACTTCCTGGGCTATCCTTCGACAAAATGTCTGCTTGCTTGCTTTACTCGCTCGAAATTGAACTAAAGCTAAAAAAAATTCAAGCAGCATACTGAGACAACTTTTCAGTGTCGTTAGAATTGCTACTGAAAGGGCTTTAATAAGATGTATTTGGAATAACATACAACCCATTCCGATCAAGATTTCTGGTACCTGATTTTGCGTGGAAAACAAAAATAAAAAACTTGAACAAACCCGAATACAACGTTCCTCTCCACTTTTTAAATGCTCGGAAAAAATTCCATTATTCGCAAAAAAAAAAACTTTTGAAACGGAACAAGTCTCACGTTACTGAATTGTTATCAAATGTATTATGGGATTTGGAGTCTCAAGCATGCGTGTTACCACTGCATCAAATGCATAAAAACACTCCTTAAATTATAAAGAAAACAACTTTCAAAAAATTTTCAAGAACAGCAAGAAAAAAACCATCAAATAGCAAAAAAAAATAGGCGAAACTTCTTGGAACTCGGTTAGTTGCCCAAAAACCAAAATACGCTTCAAAATTTTTTAATTTGAGCAAAAAATCCCCATATTTAAGTTAGATTTGGTGCTGCGGCCACAAAGGCGATAAAAAGCAGACAAAGAATCTTATGCAGCGAAGTCGAAAAAAAAACATAAGAAAAATATGGAAAAAACATGATATGACAAATAAATGGGATGACAAATCCATGGCCAAATCTAACTTTTTATGTTTGCATTAAAATTTTCAAGCTCTCAGGCTGTCTGGAATCCTAAACAATTCGATCGCTCGATGAGCTTGAGAGTTGAAAAAATCGGAAAGTGCCGAATACTATAGGATAAAAAAATTTAGTTAAAACTAAAAAATAAATCAAATATTAAACAAATAAAAATCAGGCAAACTCCAAACATTCTGTTTTTATTGATCTGAAAAAAATATTTAGGACAACGGAAAATAGTGAAAAAATAGGCGAAAACTGGAAACTTATTATAATTTTCCAAGTAGCTGTACTAAAACAAATAATTTTTCTCATCCTTTGCATTCACCCATACCTTTTTAAATTCTTCCATCTTCATAATCTTAATGTTGAAATACTATTTTTGAAACTGAAATTCAAATGTTGGGCTCTAATAATTTAATTCAAAAACTCAGTAATACGAAGAAAAAACATATCACGAGAAAGATAAATGAATTTATTTTTGATGTTTGACAGTGAAGTTTGCCTTCCCCTTTTACAAAAGGAAATGAAATGCACTTAAAAGAAACGTTTTTTGACACTTAAGTAAAAATTGCGGCAATTAGGTAAGTTTCCGTCCAAGCAAAAAACTGAAAAAAAAACAAGATAGTAGGTAGTATATAGCTTGAAAAATGTACGCTAAACCTAAATATAGAATTGCCAGCAGGAAAAAAGTCTTGTGACCCATAATAAAAACCTTCTTTGTCGTTAATTTATTCATTAACCTTCAGTGAAGGCAATATTAAATAAAAACCAGCATCAAAATTAAATATTGGGCCTCTGTTAATTAAAATCGCAGTTGTAAGCTTTTAAACACACAGAGCAAAAGTATGACCGAAAACGCATCTGCAAAAAACTGGATAAGAAAAACTTTGAGTCAACAAAATTTCTTAAGTGACGCACTCCAATTATGAGTCTACATAACTGCTAAGTGACGCACGCCCATTATGACCCATTAGCAGTACCAGTCAATTTGAAAAACAAAATTACCAACTAACATGCCTGTTTATAGAGCGGGCGCATTTTAACTAGCAAACAAAAAAGTTCATTAAAAACATCCGACCCAGTCCAGGTTCGAACCCTCTTATTCTCTTGCGGGTCTCCTTCCATACCTCTACGCTACAGATCCATGATACCTTGAAGCTAAAGTGCTATTTGCGATATAATAGTCTGTGTTAATATCCTTAGCATTGGCTGTACTTAATAGCTGGCTAATGATCAAAACGAACACTTTCAAAATGAACACTTATATTTGCGACTTAAAAAGAGAATTCATACTATCACACAAGCTTTGCTTGTGTCAATATCAAATAATGTCTAACCAGTTTGAGCAGCTACGTTGACTGCACGATTGTACGGCGTCTGCAGTACAGCAGCCCCTGATTTCGTCCACCCAGGCGCAGCCGCTCCCACGGGACTATTTATATTTGACGCACTCTCGCGTTCTTTTGTACTTCCATTGCTCGGTGTAATTTTTGGCGCAAGCTCTAAAGCTCTTCTGGCTAGCGTTGGAGTTCCTTTTCTTCTAGATACTTTCCTATTATTCACAGCCAAATTATCATAAAATCTTTCATTTGCATCATCCGGTGCAGCAATGTTTAGATTGGTTGAAGTGTCTTTTAAACTAGTTTTGGTCCCGTTCGACGAAGATGGAAGTTCCGGGAAATCTTCTGAATCTAGGTCCAGCTCAAGTCCCCGGTGTATTGCCAGAGGTATTAAGCCGGGTGTGTTTTTAGCACGCTGCTTTTGGTCCGATTTTGAGGTTTCTCTAGAAGCACCTTGGTTCAATGACTCAGAGGAACTCATAGTGTTCATGCCGTCTCCTGATTTTCGACGCTAGAAAAAAAAACAATTAGCATAAAACCATTTATTCCGCAAAGCCAAAATACTATCAGAACATTAAAATGTTTTGGAGTAATGGCGTTTTATAATAAGAAATTGCGCTTAATGAATATGGCCATTAAGTCGCATAGGTGCGGCGAGTACATCGAAGTTTAATGAACTTAACAGATCAATTAATCAAACTATTCAGAAAAAAACTTTAGAAATTTATAGAAATAATCATGCCGGAGCACAAGTAATAAATATCACCATGTTGGAAAAATCAGAAACGGTAACTAGGACTGAGTCTTCAGATCAAATATTCTGTCAAAAATATAAAAATTTGACAAATTGATAGTTTGTTTATTTGACATTATTTTGTTTTCGTAGACTATCCACGAAACTTTTCCATCATGTGATTTTAAGAATTAATGGATGATTAAAAATTAACATTGATTACTCGGATTGCAACATTGTTCATATCATTTCAAAACAACTTCATTTCATTTCAAATGAAAGAGCATGTTATCTTTCATCAAACATTAAAGTTGAATGATGGTAAAGTCAAATTAGCCGACTTCAAACAATTTCTCGAGATAATCCCATCAATTCAACATTCAAAAGGCAGTCCATTACTCTTGAAAATTCCTCTGCTTAAGGTTCTCTCCCTACTGAAAGCCCCAATTTTTTATCAAAATATATTTAAACAGAAAGATTGTACAGAAACTTCATAAATTACCAATTAGCCAACAGATCGTTGAAAAAGTGTTCGTGAGCTCAATCAAACATAAATGTATTATGGACTTTTTCTAACATTTGACAGCAAAAACTAAACTTGAAAAACTTTTCCATTACAGAAAAAAAATCACACGCACTAAGTGAGTTCGTTTATCTAAATTAAAATTCAAGTACATCACCACATAATGCTCAACTTACAGCAGCGCGTCTTCTGTTTTTCCTACTATTGCTTCTGTGACTACAACGACACTCCTGGCAACTCTCGGCCCCTGATGTCGTGAACTCGTCCATTGACGACCCATGAGGTGTATTGCAGCAACTAACTGACGAATGGTACCCTCTCGCATTGTACAGTGTACGAGGGGGTCCATTCGAATGACAAGGGTGATGGTTTGGACTAAACGAAAAGTTTCTGGCGTTTCTGAAACCAGGACTTCTTTGCGAACTTGCCGCTACTTCGTAGCTACATGAAGAAACCTGAGATTTCTCAGCGAAGGCATGTGAATTGTGACAATGATTAGAAGTGTTTTGCACTGATTGACCGTTACAGCAGCAAGATTTCTCGACCTTGATTTCCTGGCTGGAGCATCCAGGCACCTGAAGGGTTGTCTCTGTAACGTACTGCACTTGCCCCGTCGGTTGAGGAGGCAAGTTGTTGTTTATTGGTAGATATGTGACAGCAGAAGGCATATTTGAGGGAACCAGGTGATTGTTGTTTGTTGGGATCTGTGAGTGGTTAGCACCAATAGGAGACTGCTGAATGTAGGTGGGTCCCATGGGAGGGGAAAGGAGGGTGGTTGGGACCATCTCGACAGATGCGTCTCCTGAGTATGGATAGTAGTATGGCTGATATGAGCTAAAACAACACATACGCAGTCTAAACAAACCAATGATCGGAACTTACGCTCTATCTTGAAACTAACACACCTCCAGGCTCAACTACAACATTGCTAATTTGTGAAATTTATCACTAAGTTGGTGACTTATCGATAAACCTTCCTAGAGGTATGATGTGTACGAAATTTGCACTCAAAACGACAATTTGAGGGATGACTGAAAAGACACAGAAGGATAAATAAGGTAATCATGAATCCGGAAAAAATGACTTACTTCCAGTAGTGCCAATGGTGACTAAAGCGAAACCAAGATAAAGTTATTGCTTCAAATTGCAATTAAAATAACTGTGAGACAACTTCAAGAAATACCCCGCTTCCTTGGGATCTTCAACACCTGTTGGGGTTTGCGCTTAAATTTAGGACCTCTTTTGTAGTCTTAAGAACCAAAAAGCGCCACAAAGAAAAATTTCGGCGCTAAATACAGACAAGCATGAAGCGCGTGCCAAAAAACTGTTGTTTTGTGAAGGACAAATCTTCCGCAATGGCCCAAAACACTAACTTTTGCCCTTTGTCTCAGAAAATTAGCTATGGCACAGAAAAAATGACATGCGTCCTGCTTTAAAAAAATATCGTAGAATTACATTTGATTGTGAAAAGGGACGTCAATATTTCCGAAAATCCGCCAAGCGCCAACCACTGCAAAAATCCTAGGTCCACCGATATCGTCTATAAAAATTAAGATACGATTTTAGTTTTAATGTGCGAGTCATATTCCTGATATGGATCAAACTAGCCGACTTAGCATTTATGGCGACTTCAACTGCTCGCTTAAGCTGGCAACAACCTACCTCAAATAACGACGTATACGCAATACATATCTTAAAAATGAACTTACTACATTGTCGCGGGTGATGTTGAAATATAAATGGCGGTTGGGTCACTGTTGAAAGCCTGCATTGTCGGCATTTGACCTGTCCCGTAGAAGTCAATTGGGACTGGGTTTGAAGGCACGAAAGAGCTCATGTTTCCTCTTGATTCCATGACTAACTGTGTCTGTATCGATTCAACTGTGCTTTCTGGATTTACTGAAGTTGTTTCTTGAGTTGTTTCAAGTGTCACATTCATGAGTTGCTGTTTCGTATGTTTTCTAATTTCAAATCCGCCGCCAGACAAAACTTGTTTACGTGCAGATTAGCTGGGTACGCAAGATCTCTACCACCACTTTGCGTGTAACATTTCTACCGCAATGATTATTCATTGAGCCATAATTTCCAGTCCAATTTTGAGCAAGTAGAAGGAACTGTTACGATTACCCGCGGCAGAAGAAAGAACAAACTGAAGGCTGGAAATTCGTTTTCATTTTCGTTACAATGTCTTCCGAATCCGAACAAAAATATCCCAAGGCCATTTCAACAAAACCGTCAGCCCATATTTTTTCCACGAGCAATAGAGTTCATACGGCTAAATATAGTCGATAAATGGAAAACCAATTTGAGATCTGGAAATGTTTAGGAAACAATAAATTTATGTCAGGATAAAATCATTAAAAATTAAAGCAAACTAAATTCATGTCTGCGCAGCATTTTTTCCACAAAAGCAAACATGAAACATTTGCCAGCCATTACTTAAATGAAACTTTAGTGGACAAATTGAAATGCCGTATAGTAATTATTCACTAGCGGCCACTATGATATTTAACGTAAGCTAGCTCAGTTATGTCAGATAAGTTCGAAAATAAAAGACGTTTTGTATTTGACTAACGCAACACGAAATCAATTCTCTTCAGCAAAATTAATTAAATTGAGTGGTACCATTTTGATACTTAAAATGGATCTCTTTACGCCAACAGCAGATTTGAAGGAGGGGTCAAATCCCCCTTTAAATTTTTCCAATGCTACAGCGGCTCTTAATTGCAAGATCCAGCCTAAGCCGATGTTAGAATCAGAATCACGATTTGACCCTCTCGCTCAAAGGTGTTGGACTTTTAGCCCGTTGAACTTTTTTTTACTTATTATGAGGATAGTACGCACAAAAAAAACTTTCAAAAGAGACGAAGTGAAAGTTCGCACCACTAGTGATTCAATACAAAATAGGACGAAAGGCACTGAGCCGAAAAAATGTCGGAAAGAATTTTTTTACTTCTTTTGCGGGTCCGGCTTTTGTTCTTGGATCGATGACCGTTGAGCCAAAAAAATCAGAAGTTTCATGCCTCCGGTGCTTCTACAACTTAAAGTTTCTTTGAAAATCGAAACGGTCAAATCTCCAAAACTACAGGGTTTCATATCGTCGTATTTTCAAATCAGAAACGAAACATTAAGAACAACTGGACTTTACATATTTAATGATTTGATTGCGAAATTACTGAATTCATAAAGGAGACTCTTTTTTAACGTAGTGCTTTCTTTTCATTAGCCCGTACGTATATCCAATCCATCGACAACTTCAAAATTCGAGAAACATTTTTCATTGAAATCTAGCAATCATAAAAAAAATCATATCTAGGAAAGTGAAATACAATGAGCAGTCACATTTTGAGCTCATATCTATAAGCGCTTCCTGCGAAAAGCTTGACAGCACCCCACCATAAGGTTGAAAATTTCAATCTTTGTAAGTTTTTTTGGATTAAGTTTTTTTTGATTTTTTTTTATAGAAATATTGAGAAACGTTTTCTCGGAAATTTAACGCATTTGAGCAGCCACAATTGGAGGCAACAATCGTATTCCCTGAAGTTTTGTAAATCTAAATTTTCTAAATCTACATCTAAAAAAAACGTTATCTCGGAAACTTAAAGCATTACCCGCGGCGGAAGAAAGCAAGTCCATTTAAACAAAACTATCAGCCCATATTTTTTCCGCATAGCCCGAGTTTTGGCTATGCGGATGATTACAATCTGTTTTCATCGAACCTTTCAGAGTAACAAACGGATATAAATTTCCTCAACAAATATAGCGAAGATAAAAACATGATTCTGATCTCACAAAATGTCTTGACGTGGTCTTCAAAATGTCTTTTGATGAACGCAAATTAACTCAATCGATCGGGAATTTTTACAGGATCGTAAAAAAGATTTTGAAAAATTGGTCTGCAGAAATTTTTCATGGAGAGCCAATTTTGAGCAAGGAGTTTCTTCAAGGAAAAGTCATCTGAGCTTTCTATCAAATCAAATTAATCATTGTCGGCATCATCAAAGCTAAGTGCCCACTGCGGCTACATTGTACCAATTATATCGTACGGGATTGAAGTCTGGAAAACTAAAAAAAAACAGAGCTCAAAATAATTAAAGACGTTTAAAAGGAAGCGTGCAGCTGGTTCCTCAATTACATAAAATATCTCCTAGAAACAAAGAATCAAAAAACTCAGATTACGGCCGCTCTCAATGCTGAATGATCATAAAATAAACGACCTCTATTGTCCTAACTGGTTGCGAATAACAATCACGACTGAATTATCTACAGCCCTGTGACGTCGTGCTCCGAAATCTACGTTACAATTCGTCAAATGTCAAGAAAAGCGTTTCTTTTCCCAAGGTAAAACGAAAAAAAAAACAATTTTGGAATAGAGTGTCTGTCCCCTTTCAACAAACAGGTAGCAGTTCTTTGATATGACAGTACTGTTGGACTACACAATTTTACAGCAAAACTCATGGAAAATTTAAAATTTCAGAAAGACAATTTTGCTTGTAAATCCTGCATAAACTCAAAAACTTAGAAATCAGCTGATAATTGTTTAAAACGCATCATTGATTATGGTTACTTTTATAAAAGTTCGGAGGAATAATTGAAAAACGTTATTTAAATTAAACATTCCTTGCGAAATGGCAGTCAGAGGAAAGCAATCAGGGTTACGGGTAACACTTAGTTCAGATCACAAACCTTCAAAATCACCAGAAAACTGACCTTTTGCTGAATTTTTTTCATATGAAACCTAGAACTAGCAAAAAGTTATGAAACAATGAATTTCGATGAATTGTTCATTTCAGCATCGCAGAAGTGACATCATTCGAGTGATTCTGTGGACGACACGTTCAAGAATTTATTGTTCATTCATCAAACATTGTGCATTTAAGCCAATTTCTCAATGTAACAACACTAAAACCAAATTTTCTGGCAATTAAAACGTCAAATTTATCGAATTCTGACTTTTTCTGACTACGGGCCAAAAAGCTAACCAAATCTGACCATTTCTGATTGGTCAGAAAAATCTGACCAAGTGGTAACCCTGGAAGCAATAAAGTTACCCAAAATCGTTTTCCAAGAATTTGTAATTAGTTAGTGTCACTTTTCAAATAGTTTTATCTGTTTTTATGCTTGATAGTTTCCTCATTTCTGTGTCTCATTCATGTTTTTTATTCATAGCTAAATACTTCAAAAGAGTTCTTATGTAAATTTCATTTATGTCCAATTTTAATTTTGATTACAAGAGCGTTGCTTTATTAGGAGCAGTTATGGCAGCGTTTGAGATTCTTGAATGCTTTATTGTTAACAAACGATTTCCAAACTCAGGGTTCATCAACAAAATTCAAGAGAAAACGAATGCTTAGCTGTTTGAATCTTTCAAACCAGTTATATGAGCCAGAAAAAGGATTTCCACCGAGGCTGGTACCCAGAAAAACTCCCGATGTTCGCAGTGATGTAACAAACTAAAAACAACGGAACGCCACTGCTAGAGAAAAAATGACTAAATAATCAGCTTAACTGAACCTTTTACTTTTTTAATCTCAATGAGCTGGCAGGCAACTTTCAATCAATTTCCTGTAAGATTCAGCTTTCTCAATGCAAACTACCCATTTTTGAGGAATTAATGCCCTTATCTATGACAATTATGAGAATGCATTTCGTGCTAGGTATAAAGTTTTCGTTGAATTTTGTTCGTTTTCCTTGTAAAATGAGAGAAGTTGTCACGCGGAGAAAATGTCAGAGAGAAATTGTCTTGAACTAGAGAAATGTTCATTATTTGTATCGCGTGGGCTAAATGATAGCACGTTGAAATTGAGAACAATTACCACCATTGTGATCAGCAAGGGTAGTACACGTCCGCTGCGTACGTTATATGCACAGGTTATTTGCATGCAATATGTGCGTCCTTTAACTGCTCGTTAGTCCATTAATCCTTTTAGTGGGCTGACTCCAATGGTATCTCAGAAAGACTAGATGTTCTGAGTTAGCTGTTAGGTCCCTTGCTCTTTTTGATCTTCATAAATGATTTGCCTGGCTCTCTATTCTACAGTACAATATACCTCTTCGCAGATGACTTGAAACTTTTGTGACATTCGACCAGAATGAACGAAAATGCAGATTCGGCGATTTCGAATTGTTAGCAGCTAACCTTCCGAATTGAGTTTTAAGAGATTAGTGACGTTATTGGGACGATTAGTCAAACGGTGAATTTCAAGATATTCTGGTATTTTGAAATTTTAAAAATTCGAATTGAGAAGTCGCACTTCCGAGAAACGGCAAAAACCGCCATTTTGGAAGAAAACCAGAAAAAAATCAGAACAACAATAGTTGCGACGAAGATAACTACGAGAAAATAGAATATCGGAATCGAAGAAAAAGCAGAGTTACCAGAGACCGTTCCGAGTTGCAACGATTGTGTCGCTATGTAACATTCGCCCAAATACTACACAGCGACGGAGCGTAGAAAAAGTACCTATTAACGACTGGCAGGCGTCAGTTACCTTAATCCTACTCGCTTTTCACCGTCTCGACCTTGCCAGTTGATTTTCTGGTCTGTCTAGGGCAAAGTAAAAAATTACCATTATTAGGCCATCAGTCAAACGACTTTTGATCAGCTTTCGTTTACATGCGAACACAACCACATAGCTGAGTCTCGGATCCTCAGACTACGTGATTGTCATTAAAAACACGGCTCGAACAACCTATTTTAATATGTTTTTGTGTGACTGTTCTATATTAAATCCATTGGAGATGGATTGACCCTTTCCTCTTTCTAGCTACTCATATTCTAAAATATCAAGTTACACCGGTGTTAAATTAAAGTTTCACGACATCCAAGTAGCTATATAGTTAGTTTTATACAGTCCCTTCACATAAACAGTCTCTGGGAGACCAAGCCTCCGCTCCCGTAATATTCCAGCGATAACGCTCTTATCTCTCCTAATTTGCGTCCCGCGAGGGTTCCGTGGAATACTCCTTCCCCACTGAAGCTTCCTTCTCCACTAGTATCCGCTGACAAGTGTCTTATCGTGCGTTGTTGCCAAGATAAGAGGCTTCGTATTTCCCGTCTCTTGTACGACTGTTTTTCACAATATCTGTCGTTGTTCTGATTTTCTCAGCTTTTTTGGTCAAAATGGCCGTTTTTCGTATTTCTGAGAAATATCAACTTGAAAATCGAAATTTTAAAAATAGAAAATTTCAGAATACTTCGACCCTCCTTTCAAGCACTTTTTTGCTGTTAAGGCCTTTTCTCTCTGATTCGTGCTTCGTCGGAAGGTTGCGCTGTGCCATCTGGCAGAATGGCACATACTCCCCGGACAGTCCCCATCAATGTCCCTATTGATCGCATAACACCGGGTTATCGTCAAGTAGTTATCCAGTTTTCTGTAATCAATCTTACAAATCGCATAAGAAAATGAAATTTATCTACCCCACCTCAACTCACTACGTGTTCACAAATGGCATCGTACTACATCTCACTGCCTTTCAACATTTTCACAAAATTTGCACCATGAGGAGTGTCCTAGATAAAATTTCTTTTCTGACTACTTACGTCGTCTTGCCATAAAATTTCTTTTCACTCTTTGTGATTAAAAAGTGGGACGTGGCACGGCCACGCACCCGTTAAAATTAACTTAACGTCACT